ACCAAGAACTGAGTGAAAGTAAAGATGAGACAAGACTTATGTCACACAGCTGCTGTAGTACTTAGAGAAGGGACTTAAGTAGGAAAGAGGAAAGTCAGCACATTGAAGGCTCAGCACTTAACTGACACCATGAAACAGCCACAGAATAAACCCTCAAATGTTGAATAGAGGGAAACAGTGAAGATTAACAGAGGCCATGAAACTGACAATAAGGACCCAGTGGAGAGGGTCAACTAGGCTAGATACTGGTCCCTGGCATGCAGAAGACTCTGGGTTCCATCCGCACCACCCAAGGGATGAAGGAAGGAAGGAGGGAGTGAGAGAGGAAGGATAGAAGGAAGGAAAGAAGATGGGAATGATAAATGATCTCAGGAAAGATAGATCAAAATAAAAGGAGAACTGGGGATATAGCTCAGTGATAGGAGTGCTTGCCTAGCATGTGTGAGGCTCTGGGTTTGGTCCCTAGCATTGCAACAAAACATAAAATAATATAAGGATATGTATTGAAAGCTGTTGAAAAATGGGGGATGGGAGGTAACGGAGTAAGGAAGAATAATGGAAGGGGTTGAAGGGACCAAAATAAACTATACCTACAGTGGGGATTCATTGAGCAATCCCTTTGAACATCAACTTAAATATTAATAATGAAAGCTAGGACTGTAAAATAGGTACTATGTATGTGTGGGGGGTAGTGGGAGGGGATGGGTGAATGAAGGAGATGAAGGTGAGGGAATATGGTTAATGGACGTCATATACTTATATGAAATACAACAAAGAAACCTCTTGAAATTGTTTTAAGCGGGGCGGAGGGGTTGAGGGGGAGAGATGATGGGGGTGATCTAACTAATGTACAGTATAAGCCTAATTGGAACTGTCATTATAAATCCTCTCCACTCATATAATGAATATATCCTAATAAAAATGTTTATAATAATAAAATGAGAAGGCACTTATCAACTGTGGTAAGAAATAAAAAAATAACTATAGGCACTTCAGAGGTTTCAAAAAACAGTAAAGGAGTATTATGAATAATATCATGCCATGAGTTGCCCACAAATATACATATACAATAACTATAAAAAAATTCTACCAAAACTGACTCAAAAATAAATAGAAAAGTCCCCAAATCTTACAATGTAACAATAGCTAAATTTTCCTACAACAGAAATGTCCAAATTCTTTTAACAGCAAACACTCCAACAAACTGTCAAGGGAGTTATCAGTTCAATCATAAATATAATTCACAGAGAATAATAAATGTTTCTTATCATGAATTTAGTTTCAAATTGATTCTAAAACTAGGTGAGAAGCTGAGAGAGAAAACCAATACTTAAAAGTTAAAACATTAGCAAATAAAATCCAGTGATGTTTAAAAAATAGTACAGCATCAAGTGGTGTTTTTTCCAGATATGCCAGGGTGATTTAATATTAGAAGGTTTTAAAATGTCATTTCCCCTGCTAGTGTTGAAGGAAAAACAGTTATCATCACATTAGGTACTAAAAAAAAATTAGATAAAATTCAACACCCATGCAGGACAAAAACTCTCAGTAAAATAGGAGCAGAAGAGAACTTTCTTAGTCTGATAAAAGATAGCTACCAAAAAGCTACAGTAAACCTATCCTTAATGGTGAAAGAAAGATTAGAAGCACTCCCTTTAAAATCAGGAAGGACTCCCTTAATCATTACTTCTATTCAACATTGAGCTTTCCTAACCTGCATGCTAAGAAAAGATAAGCAAACAAAAAATTTGAGGATCAGAATGGAAGGTATAAAACACTCATTTTTCTCACATAAGACAACCATCTGCAATGAACAGCAAATTCTTCTAAGTGTTATCATTAATAAGAGAACGTGGCAAGATTTCTAGATTGACTTCCATTTTGAAGATTGTATTTTTAAAGATTGTATTTTTATATCTACAACTAATGGCACCTGTAATTTTTCTAAGAAAGAAAACTCTGTAATAGCAAAATTAGACAAAAGTTTATTAAGAATGAATGTAGCAAACCTGTTTAGATTTTTATGCCAGATATTCTACAATTTTTTTTTTGGCAGTGGTTAAGGAAGTCCTAGCTAAATGGTGTGCTTTTTTCTATACATGGGTGGAAAGATTTAATTGTAGACCTTGATGCAAATGTAATAAATATTCTAGCTGGCATCACATTTATACGGGCCCAGGATAGTCTAGAGAATTGTGAAGACAGATATTGCAAGAGTTTGCTTCATTAGACAACAATGCAGGTAAAGCAGCAATGACAGAGCCGGTGTTGTACCAGCACAGGTGTAACAAGGAGCTCAGGTCATAAGCGAGAGCCCAGCCACAGGCCCCCACAGGTGCAAATTATTCTAATTTATAGAATATGGACAATGTCAAAGAAAAATGAACAGAAAATGCCTCGCCAAAGAGGAAACACATATGGTCTCTTAGTGAATGCAAAGTCAGTCAGGCTCATTTGTTATCAGAAATGCAAATTAAAATCACAGTGAAGAGCTGATAGTGCAGCTCAGTGTTAGAGCACTTGCCTAGCATGTGTGAGGTCCTGGATTTGATCTCCAGCATTAGGGGGAAAATCACAATGAAACAGTATAGATTATGACGATAAAGTCTCTTCACATGAAATGTCCTGGATGTAGAACCAGAGAAGCCCAAACTCTGAACACCCATTGTGGAAACTAGTTTGGTACAATCTGTCTAGTAAGGTTGTAGCCTCCTTCCTACAATCTTAAGATACCAAAATGGCATCCTGACCCAATTCCATAAGCAGATGTGTTTGTCGAGGTAGGATACATGCACAGGGATGTGCCTGGCAACATAGCTTGTCTCACAATAAATGAGAGACAGTGGGGAAACAATGAACTGGGGTTTGAGTTCCTGCAACACAACCCAATAAACTGACCAGAGTTATACCCACCAAGGAGTGTGAAATTTACAAGCATGTTATTGGGGAGGAGAAAAAGCAAGTTGCACAAAAATACACAAAAGAAGGATGCCATTTATGATTTAAAAGCTTAAGTTTATATTACTGTGTGCTTATTGACAAAATAATACCATAGATTGCTTAGGAATTTGTGCAGGCAATTTTGTAGAACAACATGGGTGTGCTAAACCCAAATTAAGCCTCTTGCTTTGCCCTGAAGAGGAAGAAAGTGAGGGGAGGAACCCATCAGGCAGATTTAATTTATTTAAGACTGAACTTTTGATTCATAAGCAAGAGGCAGAGGTATTATTTCTTATACCTTTCTGTATGACTTTATAACTGCATAGTATTTTTTTAATTAAAAAACAAGCTCAAAGGTCAATTTCAGAGTCAGTGGGAGGGAAAGCCTGATCTTCCTGGACAAAGGGCAGAGCTCTACTGACAGCAATCACCACACTCCTTTCTCTCTTTGTCCCCTCTCCAAAGGCCAGGCACAGAGCTTTCTCTAGTACAGAGACCCAAAGGAAACTTCTCATAAAAAGTTCACGTTGTATCAAAGACCCACCAAAATGCCCACATGCACACAGAACAGTGGGTGTAATGAATTTGCATCCATGGGCCACAGAGAGATAGACATTAGGATGGCTTTGTCACTGCTTCCTGACCTAGTCTGTCTTTTAACCCTTTAAAGAAACTAAGCCTTAGTTCTAAGTAACTCTAGCCTCTTTCTCTCCCCTCTCCTCCTTGGTAAGCCTCATGTTGACATCCTATTTCATGCTCAAGCCTAAACTAAGGTCAGATTGACAGTTCTTTTCTAGTCTTCCCCTAGAATAATTTATTTGCCATGAAATGGCTTTGAGACAGTGTCCAAATTGCCAAGTGAAGAGCGGCAATTAGCATAGTATAAACCTTGCAAATCCCAGTCCTACTAAGAGTTGAGCCGGAATCATGCAGAATGGCTGTCACTTTGAGTCCTCCTCGGGCAGGAGGGTGGAGCAGGAGTCACAGAACATTCACTGGGTGTCTCTGGGCTCACTGGTGCCACCAGGGGCCTGGCACTGTGCTGAGCCCTGGAGCCACAGAGCGGAACCAATGCTAAGTTTGTGGGGTTTTTCCTCCTGACCAGCCTTCGAGCACCACAGACATCAGCTGGATGACCTATAATTCAATCCTGCTTTGTCACCTGCCACCCAGTTTGCCATGGACCACACAGATTTAAGGGTTCAGCCTTTTTTTTTTTTGGCTTCCATTTCAGATGTCAATCTCAAGTGCTGACCCTTCCCTTGATTACCTGCACTAATGGCCAAAATAGAAAATCAGCGGTTCCCAATCCCTTATTCCATGTTGGATAAAGAATTTGCTAGTATAACTTGTAGAACTTAATAAAACATTTGGTTCACTTTGACAGGTTTATTCGAAAGGATAACAATAAACAGCCAATGGAGACATGCATAGGGCAAGGTTTGGGAGTGACTGGGAGGGGACAAGGTTACATTGTGGAGCTTCTAGGCACTCTGTGGACACCCAGCACCTCAACGTGGCAACAGGCCAGAAGCTCTGTGGACTTCATCACTACTTAGTTTATAATAGCATTCTCTTTATTTATGCACGATTAATCACCTGGCAACTCTTTCCTCAGCCCATCTTCCTTCCCTGCAGATTGGGGGCTGGGACTGAAAGTTCCAATCATTAATCAATAATGCCTTGAACTTTCTGACCAGAAGTCCCCCACCCTGAATCTCTCTTAAGTTCCTCAGCTGCTAGTCATCTCATTATCATTCAGAAGATACTTGTACCACTCAGAGACTCCAAGGGTTTTAGGAGCTGTGTGCCAAGACCTAGGGACAAAGATCTCATATTTATTTTTACTATACTTCCCCCTGTCCACACTCACTCCAGTGCTCTGAGCTCTGGACTTACTTGCTAGAGTGAGGCCAGTGTGGTGAGCAGAGATGTGGCCATGAATGTGGGTACTCAAGCAGGGGTCCCTGGAAGCAGGTGCCTGAGTCCAACTAGGCCCAGGGGAGCAGGTATTGGAGCCCACTCCAAGATGAGCCCAATCATTCATTCTTTCAAACCAGGGTGAAAAAGAGAATCGACTTAACAGGAGCCTTCAAACTGGACCCTGTTTACCTGAAGCACAACCACCAGGACTCAGGTAAGTGGTGTGCCTGTTTTTTGGTCTGTTTCTGGTTTATTTTCACCAGAGCTGCGTTGGAAGTGCCTAGGAGCCAGAGGGCCAGGTGCAGGTACCTAGGATTTGCCCTCAGAGCTCTTTCCCAAGCTACACCTGGGTTAAAAGGCTTGGGTGTCTGTGGGAGGCTCTGTGAGCATGGTGAGAAGGAAACAAGAAAGAAGTTAACAAATGGCCTGCACTGAAAACAGGCTGCTGTCGGAGGGAGGTCACCACAGGGATACAGTTGCTGAGTGGCCTTGGACTTGACAATGTGCTTCTTAAAGACCAGGGCAGAGAGGAGATGCGGTATGGTATTTGAGTCGTGGTGCCTGTACAAGTCAGCTTTGCATCACTACAATTAAATGCCTGAAGCAGTTAACTTACAGAAAGCTCATGATTCTGGGAAGCTCAAGTCCAACACAGGGCAGCTCCATCTGTTGGGGACCAATGTCAAGGGAGACAGATCATAACAGGAATATGTGGCAGATCAAGCGATCCTATCACAAGCCAGGAAACAGAGAAGCAGACAGAACTCCCACAATCTTTTTTGCGGGCATACCGCCAATGACCTAAAGACTTCCCACTTAGCCCTGCTTCTTAAAGGTCCAAAGCATCTCCCAAAGGTGCCACCCTGGGGACCAAGCCTTTACTTGTGGACCTTAGGAACTCACTTTTCATATTCAGACATTATCAGTGGCTTAAGGAGAGGACAGATCTTCCCCTGGCACAAAGAGAAGCTAGGAAATGTTCTCCAGTGTCTCCTCATGCAATGCCTTTTTATGGTGTAGCAGGATTCCTATAAAACATGAACTAGTCCATCCCATATGATTACTACCCTTCTTTGTAGGTCATGCCAAACACCACATATGAGTTAGTAGCATAGGCTGGGATCTGAAGGGGTGCCAAGTGGGTTCAAATCCAGATTCCCCTGTGAGGTAGCTCCATTTGAAGATAAAATCTGATCATTTACAAGAATGATCTAAATGATACCAAAGTAAGTAGAGTGGAAATGTCCAAATGTAAGCAGTACTTATATATCTGGATGCTGTACTTGTTTGTGAATGTTCTTAATGATTTCTACATTTTAAAAAAACAGTGTAATTAAAAATGTTATCTCTAAATGTCAGGATTCATATGTGTAGGGCAGAAACTCATCCCCGTGGAAGTCTGAGCCATCCCCAAACACACGGCATCACGCACCACCGACCTGGTGCCACCTGACAGCAAGGAGGCTGTGCTGATCATGAGTCACTTTCAGCTTCTCATTTCACTTGCATCTCCCTCCCTGAGAGAAGATTCCTGGGACGTTGTTCTTTCCTTGCAAGTCTGCCTGGTTCTGCCAGATGTGCACCAGGGGTTCATGACCCTCCAGCTCTAGCTGATGCCCTTTAATCTTTCTACATCATCTCCTTTGGCCACTCCTGGCTGTCATGTGTTTTCCTTCCTTGTAACTTTACTCAGCCAGAAATGCTCACCCTGGTGCCTGCTTCCCTGACCTGTTGAAATCTCATGAACTTCTAAAAGAATACATGTGGTAACTTAAAAAGGCTTATGGATTAATCGAGATCCTGGCTAGGTAAAATGGCTAATTCTCTCTGGCACATTATTTATGACAATTTTCGTAATACCTTCCAGGATAGTTATGTAGACATTAACTCCCCTCATGAGACCTGAGCCTCTAATGGGGCAGTTTTCTTATTCCCTTCTGAATTCCTAACTTCTACCTGTGCATGGGCTGCTGTGCGACCCCTGTGAGGCCCGGAGTGTACATTAATGAGTGAATGACAGGTCACATTTTTGGGACCTTCTGTTAACTTCAAGCTTTCTTGGCTAATGATGGATCCATGGAACCATAAGATAATAGTGGTGGAAGGAATTTTAGAGACTACTTGATCTGACTCCCTCATTGCATTGGTGAGAAAATGGGCCCCAGGCTGGAAAGGGATGTAACCTTGCTACCAAGGTAGAAACACTGAGCAGTGTGGCAAAAATTAAAATGGATCACTATTCTCTCTTACCTGTACTCTCCAGCAACATGAAACACTTACCTGCAGACAGGATGGTCTCATGAAAAGAGGGTCGTATTTTTACCTGGTCTACCTTAAATTGCCCAGTGGCTCACAAGGCACTCTGTATAAACACACTGAGGTTGCCTGTAAGGCTCTGGAGGCCTCTTTGGGGCCAACATACCACACCGCAAAGTTGGTCCTTGCCTGAGCACTCTCCCCTAAGGGTCTTCAGAACCAATGTTTCTCAGATGGTGAGACCTTCCCGTGTAGGCAGGTGCCCCTGGGCTCAGCAGGCCTTCTCTCACAGGTCACCCTGACTGTCCTGGTACTGGTGTCCAGCAGCAGTCACCTTGCTCACTGGCTTATGTGTTTATCCCCCATGACTCCCACCAGAACATACGATCCACACTGGGAACCAGATTCCATGTCTATCTCACTGATGAGGCTAGTTGGTTCTAAAAGCTACCATGTCTGTGCCCTTCTCCTTGAACCTCGAGTTGCTCTGTCCAACAGAATCTTCTGCAATGAAGGAAACTATGTTTCTGCTGTCCAACATGGTGACTTCTCAAGGGCTCATGGGAAATGAACACTTGATGGTGGCTCCTTTGGCTGAAGACTTACATTTTTAGTTTCCTCTAGTTTTAATTAAATTTAAGTAGCCACATGTGGCTAGTGGCTCCACATCAATTGGTGCAATCAGATAAACTTAAGAGGGAGGGAGTCATTCATTCATTTTCACTCATGCCAGCCATCTGGCTAGTTAACAAATCCTCTTTGAGTGTCTGTGAATCCTCTTGGCCTCTGTGAATCACTGTCAGATTATTCCAGTGACTCGGCTGCTAATGTTATGTTTGACTAATAGCCCAGTCCTAACAAGAGGCCACAGGGTATAAAGGAGAGAGAGTGTTGGCTGGGGACTGAGATGGCTGTGTGACTGTGAGCGCTGTCTTAGGGTCACTCATAAGGTAGGGGATAAGCCTGGGGATCCTGCGTCTCCCCCAGTACTGCCACATTTATCCTAGTTAAGAAAAGATAGCCATCTCTCCTGGGAGCCAGATGGCAGTTAAGGCATGACTTTGGATTTTCTGTACCCATGACCAGACCTTCCTGTGCAGTGGACCGTGGTCAACATAGTGAAGGTCTCCTATTGTAGTGGCCCTTGCTCGGGAAGCAGGGGGTGCTATTAAGCCCATGCCTCAGCCGGCCTGCATTAGTGGACACACCTTCTGTAATCTCGGGGTGTATGACTCTAGGTGCCAGGGAAGACTATAGTACAAAGCAGTCTTTTCATGACCAACGTGGAACCACTGAGCCTGGGATGGGGAGACTGACTCGAGATTTTCACGGAGCACTTGATCTGTGCCACAAATAAGGAGGCAGAAACTCCCATCAAGAGCCACTCTTTTCTTAATATTTTAATCATCTTTGTATCAGCGATTCACCTTCCCATGCACAGGTGAATGAATGAATGGTGGATGACTTACACGACCTGAATGCTAATTTCAATGAAATGGCAGCTTTTTCATGCCTATGTAACTGCAGAATGCCAAACTACTGGGATTCCGTTAATAATTCAGCATTTACACTGTGTGTCCTGGACCTCCTGTCCTCAGGGGACTCCCCTTGAAGCTGTCACCTTTAGATGGGCCATCAAAACCATGCAACCATCGTCAGCTCTTGGTGGTATCACATCTGCATCAGAAGACATGGCTTGTGACACAGGAAACTACCTGAAGGATGAAAAGACACATTCTTCTAATCGTCTCTCTCTTTTTTTTTTTCTTTCTCTTTTCTACAGGACTTATCACTGACTACAGGGTAAGTGGGTGATTTATGTCACTAGTTGGAATCCAAAATCGTGAATGGAATGTCAGGGGCTCCTGAGCTGTGGCTGCTGTTGTCTCACCCTCAAGAGCAGGGTTCCACTGAGGACACCTTCTAATTGGGTCCAACTGATTGGTTTGGTGGGCTCTGCTTGGTGGTGGGCAGTTCTGTTGAGCCCACCAATCCCAGGTCCCAGGTCAGGGGGACCTCGTGCTGCCCACACTGTCATACAGGTGGAAGGAGATTTGCACCTGATTCCTGGGAGGAAGGGTCTCTCCTGAGACTCTGTTGTCCTCCTTTATGCTTTGCTGCTGTGCACCTGGGGTGGTATCCTAGTGGGGGGGGGTGCAGAGCCAAAAAACTCAGACAGATGGAGACGGTCATCTCAGCAGCCTCGCCTCAACTTGCTTTAATTCTCTCTCTTTTTTTTTTCTCTTGTCACACAAGTGTTTCCTAGATTTTGAAAATAAAAGGTTATCCTAGCTTTACTCTGGAAAGGAATTTGGAACCACCAAGGGGCATGGCTCAAGTACTGGGAGATCCTGAGTTCAATACCCAGTATGGCAAACAAACAACAACAACAAAAAACATGGGGCTGGGGACTCTGGGGAAAGGCATGGGCACTGTATCAACTGACTGCCCCTCAAGAAATGATTTGTGTCCATTTCTTTTCTAGGCAGACATGGTGGGTATGCAGGATGTCACCAGAACAGGAACTGCCACTTCTTGACAGAGGTGGTGTGTCTGAGATATTAAGGCCAGTAGGTCTCCAGGTGACAATAAGCTAGCAGGGACTGCCCTTCAAAGGCACAGTGAATCCTTCCCTCTTTCTATGACAGCTGCACACTGGCAGGTGCAGGGGACGAGGGAACCTTCTCAAGCTACCATGGCTTTCCCTAGGGCTGAGTTTTAAGGATGCTTGCCTGGTACCAGCCACCTTCATCCCAGGAACAAAGGCCAGGGTATGTGCAGATAGGGGCATGGCAGTGAGAAGAATCCATTGTCTCATTTAGCATTGGATATATAATCCTTACTTAGCCTAAGTTGTCTTTTAGAAAGTTATTATTTAAGAGATACTATGACAATAATATTGGAACAGGTTTGAGGACAGGTTTACTCACAGTGTCTCCATTCTGACACTGAGGCTTTGTGTTTGTACAGCCTCCCCATTCCTAACGGTCCCAAGAGGGCCACTGGCTCCAATGACCACCCTGCACGCAGCCTGTTTTCTTTTTGGCTGTACTTGGGTTTGAACTCAGAGCGTGTGCTTGCCAGGCAATCACTCTACCACTTGAGCCATGCCCCTTGCAATTGACTGTTATTTCACTGAAATGAAATTGTAATGCCTTCCATTCTTCTCTGTAAACTTAGGTATTACAGAAGAGATACAGAAAATTCCTTGATGTGCATTACAAATATTTATTTTCATGTTATTTTTTAACTATTTCTGTAAGAAAGTTTCTGGCTTTCCTGTATTCCTATGCAGTGGAATTACTAATTACTATGATCGAGTATATAAAACCAAAGTGGACATTTAGGTCACAGGACATGAAAACTTTGAGCCTTTTTTTCTTCTTTAAGTTATTGCTTCTTCATAGCTTAGTACCATTAAGAATAAAGGTATGACTCCATGACAATTCATAGGAAAAAAATGGAGGCTCTGCTGAAGACCCCATATTGGCTAAAACATTCTCTTTAGAACCCAACTCCTTCTCAATACGTTTTGGGCTGTCTTTCTAAAGCCTAGGACAGGAACTCCACACCACCAACTTGTCATGATGCCCAGTGACAGGAATTGTCTCAGCTGTGTCTTAAGCGGAGACCACAGTCTCTTCAGATTGTTTCTACTGACCTTCAGTAGCTGAAAGCAAGCAAAGCTGTCCTTGCACAGAATGGAGGGGTGGCCAGAGGTTGCCCTTGGTTCTCATGGCCAGTGTTTTCACAAAGCCCTTTCCACACCATCTCTCTAACCTCACATCTTCCTCCTCCTCCTCCATCTACCTCCTGTCTTGGCCCCACTGGAGCTGGGCAGGAAATGGCAAACATGAAAGAGCCCTTGTCCCCTTAGGACTTGCAGTGTAGCAGAAAGTGAGACTAGGTACACAGGGAACCATGACCCCATGAAGAGTCACACTATTGTCTACTGCATGCAGCAAGGAGCAGGGCTGCCTGACCAGGCCTGTGTCAGGCTCTTGAGAGGTGGTGATGGCATCTTGGAGCCACAGTTGAGAGCAGGAGTCATTAAATTGTGTGTTTTCACTGTGGTGCCAGAGAAACAGAGCGTACCTTGCTGTTCTTCCGGATGTTAGATTTCAGTCACATTCTGATTGTTGGGAGTTTGACCAGGCAAGGAATGACCTTGACATGCTGCATTCATGCCGACCAGTGGGAGGAAGCTATTGCTTTACTGGCAATTAGTTAGCTAGCTAATTAGTTAGTTAGTTGTGTGGTAAGAGATTCCTCTTAGACTTTCCAAAAATAAAAAAGTTAGTTAGCCTATTTCTTCCTGAACATTCTAACAGTTTTTGTAAATGGATTGCCAACTCAGACAACTCTGAGCTGGGGCAGGGGCGGGGGTGGATTCCAGCTCTGCCACATTCTCAGTTGGTGACACTAGACAAGTCACCCTCCCTGCCTGCTTTCTCTCCCATGAAGAGAAGATCTGACTTCCTATTTCACAGCACTGTTAGGAAGGTAAACCATGAAAACATGATGAAGTGTGAATATACTTAGCCCAATGCCTGCCATAAAATTAGGGGAACCTTTGTTAAATGCATCCGAGTCTATATATTGGGTCTGGCTTTCTCTTTGCAACTTGAGAAACTTCGCGGGTCCCCAGCACTACTTCTGCTGCTCAGGTGTGATGGCCCTTCCATTCACTTCACACCCTTGCTTGTCCCCCCTTATCTGTGGTTTTGCTTTCTGAAGTTTCAGTCAACCACAGTCTGAAAATACCAAGTGGAAAATTTCAGCAATAACAATTCATACGTTTTTAGTAACTTTTATTACAGTGGCTTATGACAGTTGATTTATTTTATTATGTGTTAATTGTTATTAACCTCTTACTGTGCCTAATTTGAAAAATTTAACAGTATAGATATGCATGTATTGGGGGAAGAAAACATAGTATATGTAGGGTTTGGTACTCTCTGAAGTTTCACACATGCCCAAGGGGTCTTGGAACATACCTCAGTGACAGGCAGCAGGGCACTATGTGTCCTTCCACCAAGGGGTGGCACTGGGTTCAGTATGAACCCTAACAAGTGTCCCAGGTGGCACAGGTGAACTGGGGATATCTCTCTTCATTGTAACCTATCACCTCAACCCAGCAGGGAACCATCTCTCTCCTTAAGTCTCCTCAGGGCAAGAACCCAGGGTAAGGAAGGAAGCAAAAGAAAGGTACTCTCGACCTCTCTTCAGAAGCTCAAACAAAATATTTTAATGAAAGCCATGAAGTGCTACTAGGCTGTCTTCCTGAATGGACATCCCTGTCCTTTTTTTTTTTCTTTTTTTTTTTTGGTGGAACTCAAGGTTTCATGCTTACAAAGCAGGTGCTCTACCACTTGAGCTGTACCTCCAGTCCCCTGTCCTTTCTGCATATTCAGAGATTCACACAGAATGTGAAGTGACAATCAGTCGACAGTCTGGGAAAATCAGGCAAACATTCTTTGGGACCAACAAGTGGACACACTGAATTTTCTGGTGAAGTGGTCTTGGTGGGGGTGAGGCAGAGTTACTCCCTAAGATGTCAGTGCAACAAGAAGGGAATCAATATGGCTCTAGAAGATGCCAGAGCATAACAGGCATTGTGAGGCAGGCAAGTGTGGGGTTCAGTTCCCTTCTTCCCAAGGATCAGAGACACAAGTGAAAGACGCCTCCCGGGGCCTTGTCCCACTGGATAGAAAGCTCCCTGGCCAGGGCCGCTTCTTCCCTGCTTGCCTACTGCAATACACCCTGCACAGGTGTGTAAGCAAACGTCTGTTCAGTGTAAACAATTAACATCGATGCCTCCCAAGTCAGCCATCCCTGTCTGTCCTCATCTGCTTGGGGCACAAAGAAAGCCTCTTAAGGGAGCCCTGTTAACACAGTGGGGGCCCTGCCATTCAGGGTGAGAAATGGGCTAATTTCACAGGGAATTAGCCACCTCCAGGAGAAGCAGGGCAAATGATGGATTGAAGGAATCTGGCTCTTAGTCTGTTCTTCACCGATGCACTGTTTTATATTTTATTTCAGCACTGGCAGATTCCATTGGGCCGGAGGTTCCGCTCGTTGAAGATGTGGTTTGTCTTTCGAATGTATGGTGTCAAAGGGCTGCAGGCTTACATCCGCAAGGTGACTGTCTTCGTTCTTTATCTCAGTGATATTACCGAAGCCTTGAGGGACTTGGAAATAAACTCAGATGTCTTAGGAGCAAATATAGCCATACACCTCTTAGCAATGGGGTGACTTCTGAGAAATACATGGTTAGGTGGTTTTGTCACTGTGGGGACATCACCAAGTGCATATACATAAACTAACATGGCCATGACCTCACTAGCAGTCACAGCCCTGTGGGACCACAGTGTGGTATGTGGTCCATGGCTGACTGGAACGTCATTGGATGATGCTGTATTTGGTAATGGAACCATACTATAGTTTAGGTCTTTGAGATTAGGGTGTTTATAAGATGGCCAAGTGCAAGATTATGGATTACATTGAAGACACTTTCATTAAGATTGCAGGTTATCAGCTCCAGGAAGATGGTCAAAATAGAAACGCTATATAGATTGTGTTTTTGCTACATCTAGCCCACAGTGAGGTTCACCGAGCAGTGACAAAGTGTTCTTCTCCAAAAGATTGCCCAAATAAGCAAATCTCAGAGTTGGTGTGGATATGCACCATCTACTCCAGAGTGCTTCCAGCCAGCAGAGCCAATTTGGAGTGGGTTCCAGTGACCTCTGTTTCAACAAGCAATCCAGGCCACTTTGATATGCACTAAAATTTGAGAAACACTGATCTGCTCCAAGCCCCACTACCCAAGTTTTTCAACAGTTGGGGAAACTCATGTCTAAATATGATCCAGAACTTGCTCAAGGCCCACCCACTCAGCCAGAAGCAGAAGGCCTACTGATTTCAAGCTGGACCCTTTCCTCTGATCCTGACGGTCTTTCTAGGCCATGACCTCATCTTGATGGTCAGAAGTCCTCAGGCTTCACGGGACAGGCAGGCCTGTGGTTTCCAGCCCCACTGATGGTGACAGCTCTTCACTTTACATCCTGATGACGCTGTGTCACCAGCTATGCATCTAAGGGCAAGGCTGGTGTCTCAGTTTCCTCCCTGTGACAGGGATGTAGGAAAGCATTTGTTGAATTCTTGTCGCATGGTGGCATCTGTCCAGCTGACAGGTTGTTGTAAGGAAACTTACAGAGCTGTCAAACACTATGAGAAGCATTGGGAGTGGAGGGGGGAGAACTAGAAAGGGAGTTTATGTGTCCTGTCTGATAAAAGTAAGGAGGATAAATTATACTTATTTAGAGAACACAGGCAAAGAAAAAAAAAAAAACAGTGGTTTATCTGTCCACAAAGATGACGTCTTTACACTCAAGGATACTAGCTGTGACCATGCTGCCAGACTCATACTAAAAACATATCACACCTCTTTGGGACAGGACCCCCAATCCTGCCTAACACACAGGAGTGTGTGGTCAAAGCTCTGCTGCCTAGTTGGGGACCTCCTGAGTCCAAAGTCTTTGGTGCCCTCTGGTGGTGCAACTCGGGAACGCTCTTTCCAGTACTGTTTCTTGTCCACTCTTTGTGCTGAGTTCCATTTGACAGTCTGGACTGGATGCAGGTTTAGAGTGAGCAAGATGTGCACTAGACAGTGAAGAGCAGATTCTCTGTGGATTACTTACTATTTGAACCAGATTTGAGTTCAATAAATACATATAAATTAAATAAGGTTGGTGTATTCAGTGAGAGGAAGGTAGCTCTTGAATGTGACAGATGGTTTCCCTATCTGCAATCGGAATATAATCCCAGTATCATTGTTATGAGCCTTCATGAGGATGCATGTATCCTAGAAGCCTGTATCACTTCTAGAATGTTCATATATCTGTTCAGAAATTATAAAAGACGGGGATTTTTGGTGGGGGGAGGGAGCAGTAAAAACAGTCCCATGAGCAGAAGAAAAAGATGCTGTTTTCTGAGGAGACCTGATCATGGGGTAAGGAGTGAGTTTCTTCCCAGTCTGATGGGAACTGCAGGAACCGTTGGAGCATGTAGATGACTTATAGATGTACAGTGCTATGCGGGTTTCTGGGTGGGGGAGGTCTGAGTTCAGTGGCGATGAGACATTTTTCTCTCTCCAGCACGTGCAGCTGTCTCATGAGTTTGAGTCTCTGGTGCGCCAGGATCCCCGCTTTGAGATCTGTGCGGAAGTCACTCTGGGGCTGGTCTGCTTTCGGCTAAAGGTATGTTTATGCCTGTGTCATTTTTACTGAATGAGACAGAAGGGAAAGAGTCACTTATCACCTCCATGCTCAAAAGTTTATGTTGCAAAGAATGAAATTTTGTCATTTGCAGGTAAATGGATGGAACTGGAGAACATCATCTCAAGTGAAGTTAGCCAGGTTGAGGACAAAATCTGCATGTTTTTCCTCATATGTGGAATATAGACCTGATACAAATACAGCAATATTCTGAAAACAGGTCACACAAAGGGGAAGTCACATATAAGAGGGGGGGGAGTAAAGAAGGAAGTTAAGAAGGTGAATATGGCTGATGTACTTTCTATGCAAGAATGAAAATAGAATTTTTAAACCAGCTGAAATCACCATAAGAAGCGAACTAAAGTACAAAGAAGAGAAATAAAAGAGATGAACCAATTCGGGCTGTAATGCATAATACATGGAAATGTCACAAGGAAACTCCCAGTGTAGCTATATTAAACAAAACTGTCATTTTTTTCTTTTACAAAATCGGAGAATAGGAGGGTAGAACAGGTCTAGCCTGGGCGGGGGAGGGAGTGAGAGGGTGAATATGGTGCAAATACTGTGTACACATGTATGTAAATGGAAAAAATGAGACCTTTTGAAACTATTCCAGGAATGAGGGGAGTGGGGGATAAAGGAGGATGATGGGGAGGGGTGAATTCACTCTGATATATTTGATATATTGTAAGAAATTTGTAAATGCCACAATGTACCCGACCCAGTACAACAATAATGATAGATAGATAGATAGATAGATAGATAGATAGATAGATAGATAGATAATAGCTTGTGCTGGCTGCCTGGGGCCACAGAGCTAAGCCTGTGGGTTCTCCAAGACACTGCACAGCCTCTGTGGACTATTCCTGCTGTTTCCTCCTTATGTAGCTCCTTTGACCGGTGCAAAAGCCTATCCTCTACTTCTGTCACTGGAATCCTCTGATGGATTGTGCGTTCTGCAGCCTCAGTAACGGGTGGTCTGTGGACCAGCTGGGAGTTGGTTAGAAAGGCAAATCTCCCTGTCCCAGCTGCCTGACTCAACAAGCTCCCTGCACAGAAGGGGGTCACACCTGGCAATGCTGTGAGCTCACTGTGTGACGGATGCTGATCCAGGTGTAGGGGGGAAAGCCTTTTCATTGAGATTCATGACCATGTTTTTCAAAAGGCTCCATGGTGTGCTGTTAATTTCTGTCCTGTAAATGAAGCCAGAGGACAACTAACTCCCAGACTGCTACTGAGAGGGCTTTTAATATGCCCAAAGGCTTTTGTTTCTTTCTTTTTTTTTCTCTTTTTGAGTGCTGGGGATTGAACCCAGGGTCTCACACATGCTAGGCAAATACTCTTCCCGCTGAGCTGACTCCCCAGAACCCTTCAGCACTCCCAGTACCCCCGTCCCATTTTTTTTAGAAATAAGAGAAAGGGTCTCATTGTATTGCCTAGGATGGCCTAGTAGTTTTAATCCTTTTGTGTAGCTGGGTTGACAGGTACATGCCACCACACCTGATTGGTTGACAGCCTATCAATCAGTTTCAGGCTTTCCATGAGGTTACCTTGTTCCAATCAAAGACAGCAATTAGGAGAAGGAGCAAGCTGATTTGTGTGTGTTAGGGTCACCATGCTTCCCCTCCTTGGACCATCTCCCTTCCCTCACTTGATGCTTGTAGCTTTGAGATAAGGATGAGATCCAGGCATGGAAAAGTCTGGAACCAGCAGCACTAGGGTGTTGTGACATGAGAGCTGGTGAGGAGACTTGAGATTTCTACAGAACATGTGGGGAGGTTTGGGGAAGATGTGCAGAGTGACAAAGAGGGCCATATATGCCTCCAGTGTGCGTGGAGAGAAGACTCAGGCCTTCTCAGAGTTTGATGTGTGGGCATTGTGCTCAGACTTGTCTGCCCTCAAGTAGTTGTTCTATTTTTATAGCCACTGTGCTTATAAGACTCATATTTTAATTGTTAATGGTTTTACTGAGATTAATTCACTTTGCCCATTGCAATTGTCTGTCTGAGTAACTTAGTTACTCATATCCACAGGGCTAGGCAGACACCACCACAATTGAACTTTAGAACATATCCATCCCCTGGAAGGAAAGCCTCACCCACTGGCAGTCACCCCCATTCCCAGCTTAGGGTCACTAGAGATTTTCTTACTCTGGACATCTACATAAATGCACCTTACTCTAAGTCACCTTTTGTGGCTGACTTATTTCACTTAGCATGATGCTGTCAAGGTTAAGACTTTTATCTTATTTGCATAATTGACAGGTTACACCAAACTCATCTGGGCCTTTGTTTCTGCCCCTTCTCATGTAAGTGGTGTGTGTAGCTCTCACACATAGGAGACATGGCACTTTCTGCTAACAAGCCCTTTCTTTTGTGAAATGTCATTGTTTCCCTCCCATGAATCTGCTTTTTCTTCTTGAGAGAGCACACTTGGCTCATTTTCCTACCTCCACACCTACCACATTGTCATTATTTCTCTCCAGTCTGAGGCTCAAGTCCTCCATGTCATGGACCACTTATTTAACTTAAAGCTTATGATGTTGCCATGGTGTAATTGATGCTCTTCTCCTCCATCCTCACTCTGGCCTTTCTCGTTTTATTCAGCCTCTCTTTGTCATTATTTTATCGCAGACCATTTCTCTGTTCTTCTTGCCTCTACTTTATGGAAATCCTACAACCCAATCCATTTGAAATCGCCAAGCAAAATTTTCTTAGAGAATTTGTTTTGTTTTCTGCATTATATACATTTCAGATGTGCTCTTATGCTGAGTCTTTTTGGTAAAATTCTGTTCCCTTAGTGCCATATCTCCTTTTACTTCCATCCTCCTCCTTGAATAGGACTCAACCTGGCATAAGCACCAACAGTGTCTGAATTGCCTGTGGCCTTTTACAATGCACTTGGGCATTGATGGAAGCCACACTGAAGCCCATAGCTGCAGGTGGGGTAGGTTCATCCAAAGCCAAGGCTAGTTTCCAGCATCCAGATATTCAGCTGGTGTCCTTCTGCCAGACAGAGGGGATGTTTCCTTCCCCATGTATCCTCCTGCCTCTTTCAACTATGGAGATAGAGCCAGAAGCAACTACATCCCTCTAAGGGCCTCCTCGGTAGGATGTGATGCTGTATATCCAGGTCTCTTCCACATTCAGCTAGAATGTAGGGTTTAGCAGGGAAAATCACTACATGAAGCTGGACAGACAGAAGAGTGGAAGGAGAGGGCAAACAAGAGCCCAGAGACTAATGACCTGCATGCTGCAAGGCCCAGCAAGAACATGAGAGCTTCTCAGGTGATATTGGATGTAGACCTCTCCTCTCTGGTCAATCAGAGGAGTGGGTGCCCAACCCCTCTGCCCTGGGCTGGTGAGCTGTTCTCTTCCAGAGGAGCCAGGAGACCACACTGGTTCCTGTGGTTCATGGATGTGTTTCCCAGATTCTAGCAATAGCTTGACTATTGTGGTTCACTTTCTCAGTGCTCAGGACTTTCTTCTAAGTTCCAATGGAGAATCATGCTCTGGACACAGAAACCCTGGACACACTGTTGAACCTTGTCTGTTTGTGGATGACATCCCTAGACAAATTTGGACTGTGGGAGGGGCCATCTTTTGACAACATGTTAGAATGTGGAAATATGATCTTGTGGGGAGAGGAGGAGGTCTTATATATTTTGTAGCTGGTGTTACAATTATTTCATTGAACTTCTTAACATGGTAAATGTAAGGTGAATGGCAAGGGTGAGGTTTTTTTTGCCTGCTCTGTCCTGGTATCACCAGATTTTGGCAGTGTTATGGGATTGGTCTCTTTTGCAATTCTCTTTAGGGTCCCAACCGACTGAGCAAAGCCCTTCTGGAAAGAATAAACAGTGTCAAGAAAATCCACATGGTTCCGTGTCACCTCCGAGACAAGTTCGTGCTGCGTTTTGCCATCTGCTCTCGCTCTGTGGAATCTACCCATGTGCAGCTCGCCTGGGAGCACATCCGAGAGTTGGCTGGTGAGGTGCTGAGTGCAGAGAAGGAATGAAAGCAGAGCTGGCTGCAGGTAAGTGGCAAGTGCCAGGAACATCCTGTCCCTCAGCCCTGTTGGACCGAATTTCTTCCACTGTAAAATAAGGAAGAGAAAACGGTGTCGTGTTCAGTTGGGAGAAGCAAAAGGAAAGCTACTTGCAATGTTTCTCTGGAACCAGACAGATCGGGACTTCAATTCTCTTATATGAGAATATCAATCACTGTAGTTTCCTTTTCTTTGAATTTTTCTGAACAGAGTTTATCAAGGCAACTTACTATCATAACAAGCTCATAAATTAAAGTGATAAGCTTTTGATAAATGAAAGAAATAAAAGGGAATTTCATGGGACACAATTTGCTGTCAAGAAGGACCCAAAAGTTGGGAGTGCAGAGCAAGGGCTGGTTTAGCCTCCTGGGCCCTCACAGTGTGTGGCTCAGTCACATGTGATGCCTTGCACAGGGCATGCAGGTAACTTGTGCAGAAAATCTTTTAAATGAATTCAGCATCAGCAACATGAAGGATGTTCAAAATTATTTATGCAAGAGCTGAAACACTCTTAAAAGCCTTATTATCATAACAATGTCATTCCATTTTTTTTTTTGTTTCTGCCATTTTTTTCTTTTTGTGTCATTTGGGGGAGGGGTGGTGGATGGATATCTGTGACCCTCCCCACTTAACTTCTCTCTCTCTCTCCCCCTTCACTTCCCATTGTCCTTTATCATAATGCATGTGGGATGCAGAAACTAAGTGTATTGTGTAATTTATTTGACTAACAGCATGCAACCTTATCATCTTTGCTCCTAGTTTTATTTGTAAACACCTGAAATATGATAGTGCTCAAAACCCAAGTGGCCTAGGGATAGATTCAGGAAGGTGAGGCCAAAGTTGTCACCTTCTCAGTGGAAATGTGGTCCTTTTCCTGGCACAAGGGCCTTCTTCCACTCTTAAACTGAGACAGAACTCCCCAGAAAGACTCAGAGTCACACCGTGAACATCTCTGAAAGGTGTCAGGGAGAGACTTGTTGTGAAATTACATCATTGCTCTAAGCATCAGAAAATGTTGACAAAACCACAGCAGGCAAGAACTCCTGGTTGACATTCCTGCAAACCTATGTTTGCAAATACCTAACAAACACGTATAATGTTGGGATTGTAGTCCAATATGCCCCCCAAAACATACAGACACTGTAGCTCTGGAGAATGCAGAAACAAGGTATTGTTCCTGTGGGGCAACTATACTTGCTATAGCTTCAAAGGGAAAAAAATGGGTTCCAATTTTCTGAAAAATGTATAGGCAACCATAGTCAATTACAGTGCATGTATGTTGTTTGAGCCAGATTAATTGGATCAATGAAAATTTTAGTATCTTGGTTTTACTTGTACTTATTTGCAGTTATCATATATCCATGTGATCATAGTTCTGAGAGAAGGTAGGAACTCTTTCTATTTTACAGGGGTAGAAAATTAGGCAGAGATGCTAGCTGGCATTGATAAAATTGATCATTACAAATATCAGCTCTAATGATAAACTCCTTTCCTTCAGTTCAAACTATTTCATGTTGTACAACTATATCTGTTTCACTGGTAAAATAGTATATTCCTTTTTCTACATATTCAAATTAAAGTACACAAATTCTTATTCTATGTGTTTTTTAAGGTATCCATAAGTTATGGTATTTTCTTTTTCCCTGTACAGATCAAAGTTGAAAGGACATCTTTCTGGAATGAGAAGAAAATGAACATCACTCTGATTCTGTGGAACTGGAACTCTATGTGGCCTCATTTGTCTATCTCCATAGTTAACCAGAAACTTGCGATTATGTCTTTTCAATGTCTAATCAATGAAGAAATTACCTGTGGTCTTTAAATTATCCTGTCATGTGCTTAAATGCTTAATGAACAGTTGACGTGCAATGCTAATTGTATTGAGTAAAATCATCTTGTTCTATGTTGTATCAAATTCATTCTTGTGCTATATACCTGTCCTTTCAAAATGGCCAATGATATGGTATCCTTGGATATTTTTTGATGACATTCATTTATTCAACACAGGTTTATTGAGAGTTACTCATGGGTCTTGATGCATTAACATAAGTTTTACGTGAAAATGACCTCAACTTCTAGGGAAATAAATTCATAACCAAGAGACAACCTGAATCTCATCAGTGAGATCAAGTTCTTCCATTATGATGTTGTCTGACCTTCTGGGCCTTGGTTTTCTTGTCTGACAATTCCATCTGCCCTATGGGATCATGACTAATAAAGTAACAGAAGAGTGTTCCTATAAACATAAACTCTAATAGTGGGTATTTACTCAAACAATCTATCTTTGTCCAGAACCATTTTGATTTCAGAAACATGTGTTTTTATCCCAAGATTAGCTAGTATCCTTTGGAGACTTTAGAAATATCAAAAGCACTCAGAAAGAGTCCTTGGGTTATTAGTAGCTTTATTTGAATATCAAAAACCTCTGTTATCTACATAAATGTAATTGAGTGATATCTGTTATTCAGAAATCTGGGAACATGCCATGTATTTCCCTATTATATTTGGTCAGGACATTTGTTCACCAGTGATCCAAACTCAACTTATATCACAGTGGGGGTATTCGGGATGGTGTGTTGAGCACCCTCACAGGGCCACCTGTGGTAGGACCAGCAGAGTAGGAGGCACCAGCAGAGTCAGATCACTCACCTGAGGCTGGGGCACCTAAAGTCTACAATGATATGTTTTTGCTCCTGAGTGTGCCTTCATATTAAAATTGCTGCAAGGTTCCAAGATCAGCCACTAAAGTCACTGAGGCCAGCTTTGTGTGTAGCCACTCCATCCACCTTGGTCCATAAATGTATACTGGGAAGATGGCTAACACTTGAGTACGTGGCAGGAGGCTAGGCAGCAGGTGGCAATTGGGATGGGGCAAACATGAAGGCAGGAGGTTACCTGAAGGCTGCAGCACTCTTCTCTGAACTGGTTGGGTCCTTGGAGAGAAGAGTCTAAGACCTCCTGGTTGGTGCTGACTGAGCAGGGATGCAATCTTTTCTGACATCTGGCTCATTTCTAGTTTTCCCCACCTCATGGTGTCTCCATGCATCTCACAAACACAGTGTTCAGACTCCAAACAACCCAGCTCTACAAAGAGGTAGTCCTTCCTCCATTTGTTTAACAAAAACATACCCACAGTGCTTGCTTTATGCCAGGCATGTTATACATATTTTAAAATATTAATACTGATTTTAAAATTCTCTCAGATAGGGTCCATTACTTCCTCCATTTTAGTAGGCATTGAGAGGTTTGGTGACTTGTCTGTCCCAAGGTTATATACTTAATTGATGGCAGAGCTGGGACTGCAATTCAGGCAGTCATGTGCTCCAAGGATTACCCATTCCTCAAGACAGCTGCAAGTTGGGAAAAGCCCAGTCTTTGACTACCAGGGTAAATTCCTATCCTGGGACCTCAACTAGACAATTGCCAAATGGTCCATGTGGAAAGCCTAGTCTATGGTCAACAGAGCTTCTTCATTTGAATCTGTGTTCAGTGTAGCATCATAGAATGCACTGGCACTGCTGGCACCAGCACTCCATGCTGCTTATATGCCCTCTAGTGTCTGATTACAGGCACCTCCCATTGGTGTGCCCACAGCAGACAGATGACCAAGGATTTATCCTGGAACCACATGTCTCCTCTCTATAATCCAGCAGATGGCAGCCCTTCCTGAAATGGGAAAACCAGTCAGGCTGACCACATACCAGTCACCAGGTGACCACTTGACCATCTTGAGTGCAACAGGGAGAAGGAAATGAGGAGCCCCAGGGGAAGGCAGGTTTAAACTGTCTCTGGACTCCATACCTTAACTTGGGAACACAGTAGACAAGGTAAATTGGAAATTAATACTGCTGACACTTTATTTAAAAAGGCAGACTTTTAGTCAGACGTTGATACTATGACAAATACCTGAGAGAAACAGTTTCAAGGAGGAAGGATTTTCTTTTTTCCTTTTTTTGCAGTACTGGGTTTTGAACTCAGGGCCTACACCTTGAGCCACTCCACCAGCCCTTTTTTGTGCTGGGTTTTTTCAAGATAGGATCTCACAAACTATTTGCCCAGGGTGACTTTGAACTATGATCTTCCTGATATCTACCTCATGAGTAGCTAGTAGCCCAGCTAGGAGGAAGGATTTATTTTGGCTGTTTTCAGAGGTTTCAGTCCATGGTCAGCTGATTCCACAGGGGCCTGAAGCAAGGCAGAATATACTGATAGCAAAAGCATATAGCAGAGGGGATAGATCACCTCATGGTGGCCAGGAAGCAGAGGGAAAGGGACAGGCAGGGACAGATACCCCCAAGGACACATCCTTAGTGACCTATTTCCTCCTACTAGCTCCACCTCCTAAATTTTTCAACATGTGGGGACCAAGCCTTCAACACATGAGCCTGTGATGGACAGGTCATATTCAAACCATGACACTCACATTTGAGGAAATGGTGGTTGCCTCACGGCTTTTTGATCTAAGGACTCCTTTATTTTCTGTCAAGAGACATGGAGCATGTGTATATTCATGTGTGTCTCCTCTGGTCTCTCTTCTTATAAAATCAAAAGGATTCAATCATGGGAACTCCATCATACTTACCTAATCTAATCTGCTCACCCCCAAAGGCCTTACCTCTAAATACCACAGTTGGGTTAAGTTTCCACCCTCTTAATACCTTACAATGGGGGTTAAATTTCAACACACAAACCCTTGGAAGACACACTCAAATTATATCCAAACCATAGCAATGTCCAAAATGTTGAGGTCAAACCCATACCCCACCCTGGAACTGTGAGAGAGGAAGCAAGGCACTGAGGAAAGGATGAATGGGAGAGAGAGAGGACTCAGCAGCTATCTTCAAACTACACTCACTTTAAAGTCTTTCTATAGTTCAAAAGAGCAAGTCACAGGTTTTTTTTCTTAAAAATCACCCTTGTCAACAAATGGGATGTGTCTTTTTATAGAGCAGTGAATTCTCCAACACTGTAGGCACTCAAGTGGAGATGGGGAAAACCAAGGGCTGAGTGGTGATAAAGGACATTCTTCCATGAGACAAAAATTATGCTAGGAAGCACACAAATTTAAGCTCATTCCTATATCTGAGATTCTGATATTCTATGAAAATAATTTTGCTAAATTATTAAACAGCAAGTTTAAGCTGCTTTAATAAATGGAAAACCATCAACAGGGTGGGTTATTTTTCAGTCTCATGTTCTAATCAGGGCCGTCCCCCTCCCTGTGTGGAACAAATGGATGGCTCTGACCATAACGACAACCCCCAACATGTGGCCAGTGATAGCTGGGGCCCAGGCATCTTGACACTGACTAGACTTATCCCCAACTACCACTGTGGAAATTGGAGAGTAGTGGAGCTGGGACTTGAACCTTGGAAAGCCAACTCTATAGGTACTGGTCCAGTTGCTCTACCCCTCTGCCCTGGTGCTATAAGAATGTTGTGTATCAATTTCTTAGGGGTGCCGGAATCTTGGTGTCTTCAACCAACAGAAGTTTACTGTCTTATAGTTCTGGAGGCTAGAAACCCTAAATCAAGGACCCTGCTAATGCCAAGTTCAGCTTTAGGTTCCTTGGCTTGGCTTGTGGTAGCAAAATTCCAATCTCTGCTTCTGTCTTCCCTCTGTATCTCTTCTCAATGGCAATCACAATGGATGAGGGTGTAACCTAGTCCAGTATGATCTTAATTCTACTAAGATCCTTTAAAGACTATTTATTTCCATGTAAGTCAGATTCACAGACACTGAAGGTTAAGACTTCAACTTAACTGGTTTTGTGGGACAACCCATAACATTCAGTATCAAACTGGAAGTACCCAGCAGTGCCGATTCAGGTTGGTAGCATGATCCTTGAGGAAAATTACCAAAACAGTTCCTTTCACTCTGTCCTGCCCCATTTCAAGTGTTATGTACAAATTATGGGCAGCGACTAACTGTTCTGGACTGAGTTGCTGCACTAGATCCCAACAGACCAGGCCAGATCCATACAGAGTCATTCACATTAAGTGTATGAAACTTGAAAGCAGTAGGATGATTCCCAAATGTAACAGCTTTTCCTAAAAACAGGAAATTCACAGTAATGAGAGACAGCCTAGTCTAACTGAGTCAGCATAAGGAAGTACCTCTGCTTTACCCCTAAGAAAAGTAACCTGAAGTGAGCTGATGTCAACCAATCAGTTGTTTTTCTCTCGTTTTGTTTCCCGGTTCCTACCTTCTGTCCAGTAGAAGTCTCATTTGTAGAGTGGAGGCCGCCCCAATTCACAACTTGAAAATAAAAGCTAATTAGAACTTATTTAAATTTGTTGGAATTGTGTCTGTGGAAACGGGAAGGCACCCTACACACCAACTGTTCGTGCTGTCGATGCTAGACACAGCTTTTGCATACATTTGGTTTTGTGTGGCCAATGAAAATGTTTAATTAGAATTGTGCCTTTCATATTTCAGTTCACCATATCTTACACATCTGTAAGGGGTCTGGATATCATCCTTCCGTCCTCATTCTACTCTTCCTCATCACAGAATGGGGGAACTGAAAGGTTTGGTGGTCAGTAGGAATCTAACCATACACAGGGAATTCCGTTTAGAAGGAAATTTAACTTTTGTCCTGTTTGCTTTTTTACCTACTCAATTCATCCACCTCTCACACCCACCTACAAACAAACCTTTAAACATAGAAAGTAGCTTTCCTGGCAGAAAGATACACACAATATTTGAGGCCATTTATCCCTCTGCTCAAAAACAAATTAGCTCACTGTACTGTACAGTGGCCTTTTCTGAAACTACATTTACAAAATTCATGAATATAGAAATACGCATCTCTATCCCAGAATCCCTCCCACCAAATGGACTGGCACTCTGCTGTAAGTTACCTTTTTCTTTCAGGTTCAACAACTTCCACCCAAGAGAAGAAAGAAGGGTCTATTAAACAGTCTGTGTTCTCAGAAGGAAAGTTTAATATTTACTTAGCTTAAGCACTAAAACCTTCCATATTATGCTAAAATATTGGGAAACTATTCTAATTTGGTCCATTTACCTTCCTTCCTCCCCCCCACCCCTTTCTTTTTTGGTACCAGGGCTTAAACTCAGGGCCTTCACCTTGAGCCACTCCGCTAGCCCTTTTTTGTGAAGTGATTTTTCGAGATAGGGTCTCCTGGAACGATTTGTCTGGGCTGGCTTAGAACTGCGATCCTCCTGGTCTCTGTCTCCTGAGTAGCTAGGATTGCAGGCATGAGCCATCAGCACTCGGCTTTTTTTTTTTTTAATTTTTCTTTTTTTATATTTTTATTTTTGTTGTATAGGAGGGACACTGTGGCATTTACAAAAGTTCTTACAATATATTAAATATATCATACTTGAATTCACTCCCTCCATCATTCTCCTTTATCCCCCCTCCCCCCATTTTTTTCTTTTTAACCATCCACTCAAACGGAACTGGCCCGTGTTTTTAAGAAGATGAAAAAATCTTGATATAGTATAAGGATTGTATTATTATTATATTATATATATTATTACATTATAACAGTATTATTAGCAACGATAGTATTAGCAACAATAAAAGGCATCATGGATCCTACTGGATGTCTGCCAGCTCCTGCTTTGATAATTTCAGTATTATATCTCTTGCTGATTGTGGTCCTTACAGTAAATAGCTCCTGAGTTGCAGAGTTTATTCCTGTTTGACAGATGATGGAGCACCTGCTAATTAACTGGACGGGAGGTGGGACCGTGGGTCAAGAATACAAGTGGGGGCCCTCCCCACCCCACCCCCCGCAGAACTTGGGGTGTATGTTCTGACTTAAAGCAGTCTTGAATGGCTCCCAACTACTGAACTTCACTCCCCTCGCTGCCTTCCCTGTCTTGGCACAGATTTGCTCACACAGGTGAGTCCAGGTAAGTCGCCATCTACGGGTGCCCTCCGAACTTCCACTCAACTTTCATCACCTCTTTGATTTATTCCGCAGCACTTTAAAAAATTAATCTCAAAATGAAACGGAGATAATTTATCACTGAAGATAAACCCGTCATAACAGGACAGGTTAAATAACCCTTGCCTTTTTCAGTCTTCACCATACTAATATTCGCCGGCCACCCAGGACTCTCCCCATCCTTCCGCCGCACGTTGCGTACCCCCGCCCCCTACGCACGTGCGCACGCACGGCGCGGGCCGAGTACGTCACAGCGCGCGGGCGCACTAGAGGCCCCGCGCTTTTCGGAGGCTGCCGAAGACGCTACAAACTGGAGGTCGGCGGTGAGGACCGGAGCGCGAATCTCCGCGAGGTCTTCGGTGGGGTCGCGGGGCAGGAAGGCTCGGTATACGCGGGACTGGGGTTCGCGCAAGAGGGGACGCTGCGGGAGAGCTGTGGAAACTGCCCCGGCGGGCGGTGGCAGGGTTTTTTCTCAGGGGGCGTGGTCACAGCGCGCCCTTGTTTTCTGTTGTGGGAGAGGGCGCTCTTGGCAGCCTTGCAAGCAAGGTGGCGATTGGCCAGCTCCATGCAAGGCTCCGTCCAGCGGCGCGCTGAGGGAAGGTTCCGGTGGGCTGGACAGGTGTGGGGCCCGGTCTGCCTCTGCTGACCTCTGCAAAGACAGTGAGCGGGCCGGGGCCGTTTTACTACATAAACATACTGAGCATCGGGCTTTTGATGGTACCTGTGGTACAGGTTGAGCACTCGCCATCTGACAATTCGAAACGTCCCAGCTGCTGAAATATCTCGAACCCCTAGGTGACATCGCCAGGGGAAAATTCCACACCGTGAAAGTTTTGTTTCCCACCCAGAATTATTTAAAATGTCTAAAATTAATCTTAAATTTATGCCTATAAGGTGTGTATGAAACAAGTGAATTTCATGTTTAAGAGTTCCACTTCCCAAGCTACCTAGTATATATGTGTGTGTGTGTGTACATATATATATCTGTATATGTATTTTATATATATAATAAATATTTGGCAATTCAAAACACTTCCTGCCCCAAGCATTTGGGGTCTATAGTAGTCAGAGTTGCATCCTTGCTACTTTCTGGCAATGCAGTTTCTGTGACCTATTACCTTCTGTGATAAGAAGGAAACTCACACCTTCATGGTCATTATTGAGAATAAGTACTGAAAATTGTTTTGAGTGCTTTGTAGAATTAAAAGCCTCCATCCTGTAAGTACTGTTACTGTACTCTTTGTAGGTTGAAAGAAGCAAAGCAGGTTATCTGCCCAAGTGGTCATGTGGTACATGCCTGTATTCCCAGTTAGGTTGCAGAGGTAGGATTACTGCTGAGGCTAACTGGGCAAAAAGTGCTGTAGTAGACCCTACCTGAAAAATGAAGAAAAGGGCTGAAGGTATGGCTCTTGCCTAGCAAGCACAAGGCCCTGAATTCAAACCCCACTCCTACCAAGAAAAAAAAAAAATTTATTCAGGGTCATTGCTGCCTGGCTTCAGCTCCTGGGCCTTTATTTCCTATGTTATTTTGCTCCTGGGGATCAGACTTCTATAAAAGACCTGGATAGTGTCTAGTACATGGTAGGAGCTCTGTTAGTATTTTAGTAGCTATTGTTTTTAATGGATACCTTAGTCCAGGTACTGAGAGAAAATAACTGTAATAGAAATACTGTTTCTACTTGCAGAAGCCAACTATCCATTAAGGAAATCAAAATATAGTCTTACAATAGTCAGAAAATTACCAAAATGAAAATTGAAATGCAGTTCTTAGGCCAGAACCATAATTGATTAGATTGATTGATTAATTAGCCATAATTGATAGATCTTGGAAGGGCCATGTCAGTAAAATTACTTGAAAATGATAAACAGGACAACACCTGTGTTAAGCAGTGAGGGCCAGTTTTTGTTTAACCAAATCCATAATTGGATAAATGATTGAGTTGAAAGGGAGAAATAAGGCTTGGGAGATGGCATTGAGGAAGAAGTTGGGGGAAGGGAGAAAGTGGAGTTTCTTGGGAACAGTGAGTAGAAATCTGAGCTTCTGGAGGAATCCCAGGATTGTGGATTGTAAACTAAAATGAAGCCATGGAAAGGAAGAGGATGATTATAGCATTTGTGAAAGTTTGTGACAGATATTTTGCACATCACCTCTCATTCAATTTCTTGATTCCAGTATTGGGTAAAGATTAAAATAAAAATTAAAATAGTATAGTGGAGAGCAGAATGAACTGTCTTCTGGTTTTGTTTAGTTAGCTTCATAGCTTTAAACAAATTACAATCTCACGGAATGTTAAGAGTCCTTGGATTCATGATCCTGCCTTTGCCTCCCAAGTTCTGGGATTACAGGCATGCACCATCATACCTGCTTCTTATTTTTTTAAACAAAGTTTTATGAGTGCCTTTTCATGGTTCAAAATTCTTCGTAAAGCATTGTTGGAAATACAAAGCTGCTGTATTAAACCTGGCTTTTGCCTGGAAAAAAATTGGTTATTAAGCTATACTTACAGATAATTTGGAACATAAACTAAAAATACACAAACTGTTATTTTTTTACTTCATTGCAGTACACTCAGGAAGCTAAAAACTTGTAAGTTTTTCTTGTGAACATAGAGGTAAATTCTACACCTCCAGGAAAATGCATTCATCTGTCTTCAGATGTATTCTACATCTAGAATCACATTCATGATTCTGTTAAAATATAATTTAATGTGAAGAGGCTTAATGAAAATAGCTTGAGAAAAGAAATCTAAAATAAAAGCACTTTACTAAGTAAACTATTTGTCTTGTTCTTTCTCAGATTCAGTGTGTCATACAGCTTCAGTTTTTAATTTGGAAATTGTGAGAGCTCACGCATCCCATTTTACGTGCTCATTCATTAAAAAATATTAAATCATATGTCACATTTATGATTCTTGCAGCTCAATCTGTGACCTTTGGTAGTAGCATTGAGGAACATTGGCGCACATGGTGAAGTACACAGTACCCAGAATGGAATTGTGTGCTTGACTTTTGGTACCCTTCCTTATTGGCTGAGTCACCTCCGGTAAGTTCCTTAACTCTCACCCTCAGTTTCTACATTTTTTGCAATAGGGATAACATTAGCAGTTTTCAGATTATTTTCATATTCATCTCCTGACTTGATTCTCACAATAATTCCTCACTTGACAAATGAGAAAACTCAAGACCCAGAGGTAGTAAAAGTCTCACTTAGGATTAAGCATCTAACTTTTCTTGGAAACTGGACTGTTTGTGTATTTGTCGTCCCATTGTCTTCCATATTTCCTTTCTTTTGCTGGTTAATTTTAAGTCCTTTCTATTTACACTTTATGAACCGAACACTTTTCTCTGTTTGCAGGGAAGATTATTCTGTAACTGCAACAGGTTAACACTTAAAATCACTATTGAGTCTTCAGTCTTGAAGACTTTAAATCAAGGTATCTTTATATCTTGAGTACTTGAAATCTATGATTAACTACAAATTTCTCTTATAAATAACCTGCCCTTATAAGTTTACCTTAGAAAAATTTAAACTCTTTTTAATTTATTATATCTTTGTTTTCTTGATCAGATTTCTCTTCAATTAGGTCATTTGTTGCAGAACCTTGAGCATGCAGACCCCAGCTCCAGGTCCGTGCACCTGAGTGAATGGCAGAAAAACTACTTTGCAGTCACATCTGGCACGTGCACATCAGGACAGAAAGCAGATGCGTACCGTGCTCAGATACTGCGTATTCAGTACGCGTGGGCAAACTCTGAGCTCTCCCAGGTCTGTGCTGCCAGACTGTTCAAAAGGTATGCAGAGAAATACTCTGCAATTATTGATTCTGACAATGTTGAAATTGGTTTGAATAACTATGCAGAAAACATTTTAGCTTTGGCAAGATTTCACCAGAGTGACAGCGACAAGTGGAAGTCTGGATTGTCAATAAATAATGTTTTCAAAATGAGTAATGTACAGAAGATGATGCAAATGGGGAAGAAACTGAAAGACTCTCTATTGGATCCTGCTGATGCATCCGTTATAATCCATAAGGAGGCAGCTGTCTCCGATATTCCTAAGTTTGGTGTTTGTGGAGGTTTTGGACAGAGTGACTTGTTACCCAACTCAAGTCATGACACAGATAGGACTCAGGACATCCCAGGGAGCAGCATGGGGTGTGTCCAGCAGCAGAGTGCCCAGCCACCTCTGGTAACTCACCCCACTAAGACTTGTCCCACCTACTCGGTGCCTTTAGGCGAGCCAGCCCCTGCAAAATTCCATGTCACACCATTATTTGGAAATGTGAAGAAGGAAAATCACAGCTCTCCTAAAACCAACATAGGACTAAATATGTCCTCATCTAATCAGGCTTGTTTTCCTTCTGGTTGTGAAAATCCACGGGAAAGGAAGTTTTTTATGGTTCTGACACCATTGACGCCCTTTCCAACCCAGTATTCAGTAAGACTTTTAGTAAAACAGAAGCTAATGGCCAAAGGGAGGACAGCACCCTGCCTACCTTTAAAACTGCAAAAGAACAATTATGGGTAGAGCAGCAGAAAAAGTGCCACCAACCCCAGCGTGCATCAGGGTCTTCATATGGTAGTATAAAGAAGTCTCTGGGAGCCGGTAGATCTCGAGGGATATTTGGAAAGTTTGTTCCTCCTGTACCTAAGCAGGATGGGGGAGAGCATAGTGGTGGGATGCAGTACAAGCCTAATGGGTCCGGACCTACAGAACCAGCACACCCCATTGATGAGCGTCTGAAGAACTTGGAGCCAAAGATGATTGAGCTTATTATGAATGAGATTTTGGATCATGGACCTCCAGTACATTGGGACGACATTGCAGGAGTAGAATTTGCAAAAACCACGATAAAGGAAATAGTAGTATGGCCCATGATGAGGCCAGACATCTTCACAGGGCTACGGGGACCCCCTAAAGGAATTCTGCTCTTTGGTCCTCCTGGGACGGGCAAAACTCTAATTGGCAAGTGCATTGCTAGTCAGTCTGGGGCAACGTTCTTTAGCATCTCTGCTTCTTCCTTGACTTCTAAATGGGTAGGAGAGGGGGAGAAAATGGTTCGTGCACTGTTTGCTGTGGCAAGGTGTCAGCAACCAGCTGTGATATTTATTGATGAAATTGATTCCCTGTTGTCTCACCGAGGAGATGGTGAACATGAATCTTCCAGAAGGATAAAAACTGAATTTTTAGTTCAGTTAGATGGAGCAACCACATCTTCTGATGACCGTATTCTAGTGGTGGGAGCAACAAATCGGCCACAAGAGATTGATGAGGCTGCCCGCAGAAGACTGGTGAAAAGGCTTTATATTCCCCTACCAGAAGCTTCAGCCAGGAAGCAGATAGTGATTAATCTCATGTCCAAGGAGCAGTGTCACCTCAGTGAGGAAGAAATTGAACAGGTGGTCCAGCAGTCTGATGGGTTCTCTGGTGCGGACATGACACAGCTTTGCAGAGAGGCTTCTCTTGTCCCATCCGTAGTTTACACATGGCTGACATTGCTACCATAGCACCAGAGCAAGTCCGACCAATAGTTTATATCGATTTTGAAAACGCTTTTCGGACAGTGCGACCTAGTGTGTCTCCAAAAGATTTAGAGCTTTATGAAAACTGGAACAAATCATTTGGTTGTGGAAAGTAAATAGGTCCCTTGATTAAAAAATGCCATCTTTGTAGTACAGTCTTACTTGTTTGTTAGCTTAGGAAACTGGGGATGTGTTAAGTGTATTTTGAAAATATTCTAAATTCTTTACCTGAAATAATAACATTAGCTCAGATTTTATAACTTATTGACATCCTTTGTGAACGTTACATTTGCCTTCCAGTCAATAGCTATATGTAAGCCTATTTAAAAAGAATGAGAATGAGGGTTTTTTTTTTGTTTATAAGAAGTCTTTCTTTTGAAGATGTATATACAAATAGTGAGCTCAAATTGAAACTTTAATCTAAAGATTACATTTATATATTGAAGATAAGTCATTTAATATGCATCTTTTCTGAAGATCATGTAATTCTTAGTGTTGGCCAGTATTCATGGTTTACATTTGAAATGTTACTGCTTAGTGTTTAGATAAATTTTGAGATCTCACCAAAAGCTCCAGTGGAAGTACCAGTCTTTACTGTCTTCTGAGAGTTTGTAGCCTCTTTTGGGTTCTTCCCTTACCAACACTAATGAAAATGTGTAGAAGTAGCAAGGTGTAATCTTAATAGCAGAGACCCACCCACAGAACCAAATGCTAAGATGTGGTATTTCTCCAGGGTCTGTGATGTTTACCATTAATATTTTATTCCATTCTATTTCATGGCCTGTAGTATTGTCCTCTTTCAAAAATAAATGTTTTCAGATTTTTATAATGGGTCATTTTGTTTTGGAATTAGTACAGGTTCGTTCTATAAACCTCAGAAAAAAGAAATAAACAAAATGAATAAAAATCACTGTTACATTACCACTTTGGGGGACACATTATTTCAGCACAGCTTCTTTTATTTATTTATTTTTTTAATACAGGAGTGGGGTTGTACTGTGCATTTTCTTTTGTAGCCTGATCTTTTTCTTTAAAGTATGTCATTTTCCATGCTAACATAATTGTCTACAATAGACTTTCATTACACAATTGCCTACAAGGCCATTGTATGGTTGGGCTGTAATTGATTTGTTCTTCTGTTAAATGGCATTTAGAGCAGGACACTATGTTATCTTTTGTTTGTCTAAACAAAATTATGTTGAATGCCATTTAGTGATCTTTAAAATTTTATATAAATCCCTTGAATAAAATTCTAGGAGTAAAGATTATGCACCTTTGTAAAGCTTTTCACACATTTTCTAAATTGTCCTATAGACAATTTGCCTGTTTAGGAGATCCATCTGGCAGAATCAAAAGGACTGTTGATCTGTACCACAGCAGCCTTGGGATGTAGACAATTCTGGTTTTTGTTAGCTTTGGTTTTACATTCATTCATTCAAAAACTTGAGTTCCAGACTGTGTCCTGGGTACACAGAGCAATGGACCACATAGGCATACATCTTTGGTTTCATGGAGGCTAGTTCAAATTCTAATGTGTTCTTTTACGAACTCTAAATGGAACTTAAAGTGTAATTGTAAGCACTTTTTTTTTTTGACAGCATTGTGGTTTGAACTCAGGGCCTTGTGCTTGCTAGGCAGGTGCTCTGTCCTTGAGCCACGTCCCCAGTCCTTGAAGCACTTTTCAGTAGGTGAATTTAGACAGTTCACTTGGGTTTATGGGTTTGTATAGTTTAAATTTTTCTTCTTGTTCTGGCTTTTAATTTTATACTATTTTAAAAACTATTGCAACTTTTAGTTTTTCACTTTGGTATGTGATTATCCTTTATTAGAGTTTAGATGTTAAAGTTTTCTCTTGACTTAATTACCTTTTCTGTCATTTTAAAACATCTAATAATATTTAATACTTTGTCCCTTTCCATTTCTGTATAAAACATAATCTCTGATTCTTAGGTATTGATGTCAATTGAGGAATTTTCTATAATTTTTCTTTACTTGTATTTATTGATTCTCTTTACAGATTACTCTTGGGCAGAGCCCATGTCTTGGTTTTGTATGTGACCTATCACATGCTTACTCCTCCAGAAGTAAGTTCAGCTCTACTGAGGAAGAATCTAAACCTGAAAGGAGTGATCAAGTAGGGAATTTTAAAGCTGGAAAGAAATTTTGAGGCAGAGAAGACTTGACAGTCTGTCTCTCATCAGCTCTTTGTGACTGAGTCTGTGTGTGAGGCAGTTGTGTGGGGGATTTATTGAAAGCTTCACATAAGATTCTTTCTCAGGCTGAAGGAGTAGCTCAAGTGGTAGAGCACCTGCCTAGCAAGAGTGAGGCCTTGAGTTCATACCTCAGTACTGCCAAGAAAAAAAAAAAAAGTCTTTCTGTACAGGAGATGGTCATAAATAGATACTATAATTTTGGCTTAAACTCTCAACGATTATTGGTGCTGCAGTATCTCTAAGCCATTGTTTCAGAAAAGCAAACACGTGATCTTTACTGTCTTTAAAAATTATGTTTTCTTTGTAAAAATACATATTTTGTCAACACATATCACTTGATTGTGGTATTAATGCCTAAAAGTTTTGGTAGAGATATAATTTATCAGCATTTATAACATCAGACCATTTATCTATTTACTTATTTTTTTAGTTTCTGGATTTTATTTTATATTTAGAAAATCAGTTTCTCGTGTCTTTTTAATTTTCCTTGTTAAACCATATAATTTTTTTTATTTAACTGATACATAATGACATAAAAGTTGTACTTGATGGTGGAATGCCATGTGATGTCTTCATGTATGTATACAGTATACATTATGTAATGTTAAAGTTGGGTACACATCTCAAACATCCATCATTTCTTCACAGTAAAAACATTCACTATCCTCTCTTTTTGAGCTACACATAGTTGTTAGCTATAGTCACCCTGCTATGCCACACCAGAGCTCCTTAATCCTCTTTAACTAACTTAGTGCCCATTGATCCACCTTTCCCTGTCCCTCTTCTCTGTCTCCTCTGCTCTTCCTAGCTTTTGGTATCCACCATTCTGCTCTCAGTTTCTGTATGGGAGATCATGTGGTACTTGTGCCAGACTTGTTTCACTTAACCTAATGTCCTCCAGTTCCATGCATGTTGTCACAAAAGGCAGGATTTCTTTGCTTTTTTTTTTTTTTTCCTGTGTATGCTAAGCAAGTGTTTTGTCATGGAGCTACTTCCCCAACCCAGGATTTCACTCTTCTGACTGAGTAGTGTTCCTATGTATGTATATACAACATTTTCTTCATTCATCAGTTGATGGACATGTAAGTTGATTCCATACCTTGACAATTTGTGAATAGTATTGCAGTGAACATGGTGTGCAGATGTCTTTCAACATACTAGATTCATTTCCTTTGGGTATATACCTGGTAGTGGAATTACTGGAACATATAATAGTACTTCTTTTAATTTTTTGAGGAACCACCATAGTGTTTTCCATAATGGCTCTGCTAATTTAGATTTCTACCAAGAGTGTGTAGGGTTCTGTTTTCCCACATTTCTGGCCAGCACTTGCTAATATTTTGTCTTTTTCTGTTTGTTTGTGGACTAGGGATTAAAACAAGGGCCTCACACATGCTAGGCAAGTGTGATGCTACTTGAGTTATGCCTTAAGCCTTTTTATTTTGATTTTGCGATGGGGACTCTACCTTTGCCTAGGCTAGCCTTGAATTCTTGACCTTCCTACCTCTGCCTCCTGGGTAGCTGGATTGTAGGCATGTGCCACCAAACCTGGCTCTGACAGTCACCCCCCGCCCCCAATTTGTACTGGGGTTTGAACTAAAGGCCTCAAATACTGCTTGAGTGCTACCACTTGTGCCACACACTCAGTCCTTTTGCTTTTAGCTTGTTTTGTAGATAGGATTTCAGGCTAACTTTTTGGGCCAGCCTTTACTGTGATCCTCCTACCTCCACCTCCTGAGTGGCTGGGATGACAGGGTGAGCCACCATGCCTGGCTCTTCCAATAATCCTTAACTGAGTGAGATGATAGCTCATTGTTTTGATTTGTATTTCCCTGATGATTAGTGATGTTGAGCATTTTTTTAATCTGTTGCCCATTTATATGTCATCCTCTGAAAAGTGTTTACTGCCTATTTTAAATTATTTTTTCTATTGAGTTTTTCAAGTTTCCTTTATATCTTGAATTGTAACTCCTTGTCAATATTTGAAATATTTTCTCCCATCTTATATAGGTGGGAGAAATGATGATTGTTTCCTTTGTTATGATGCAGAATCTTTTTAGTTTGATGTAATCCCATTTGTTTATTTTGGGTTTTGTTTCCTCTGCCTTTGGAGTCTTGTCCAAAAAAAAAAGTCCTTGTCCCTGTTTCATTGTCTGAAACATTTCCCCTATGTTTTCTTCTAGTAGTTTTATAGTACCAGGTATTATTACATTCTTTAGTCCATTTTGAGTTGATTTTTATAGCTGTGCAAGAGATAGGGAGCTTGCTTCATTTTCTACACCCAGTGTTCCCAGCACCATTTAGTAAAAGACTGTACTTTCTCCAGTGCATGTTCTTAGCACCTTTGTTGAGAATCAGTTGGCTGTAGATGTGTGGTTGTTTCAGGGGACTCAATTCTTTTCCATTGGTCTGTGTGTCTACTTTTATGTAAATATAATGCTATTTTGATTACTGTAGCTTTAGTGCAGTATGAAGCAAGGTGCTATGATAGCTCCAACCTTGTTCTTTTTGCTCAGGATAGCTTCAGCTGTTTGGGGTCTTCCGTGCTTCCATACAAATTTCAGGATTGCTTTTTCTAGTTCTGTGAGGAATGTCATTGGTCTTTTGATGGAGATTGCACTGAATCTATAAAATTGAAAATTGAAGTTGATCTTCCTTCCCTCTTTTCCATCCTTTTCTTCCTCTCTCCCTTCCTCTCACAGGATCTCTGTAGCCTGAGCTGGCTTTGAACCTTTTGATCCTTGTGCCTTAGCATTCCAAGTTCTGGGATTACAGATGTGGACCACTGTTCCTGGCTGACTGAATGATCTTTCTGATGTGTTGTTGGATATAAATTGCTAGCATTCTCTTGAGAATTGTTACATCCATGTTGTTGTGCTGTCGGGCCTTCTTAATACACACCTATTAATAATAATATATGGCTCTTTTGATTTGTTTTCTATGAAACTTTCCATTCTGTCTATGGTGTTTACTCCTTTTGAATTTTTAGTTCATTTTCTTGATTCTAAAATA